GTGAATTTTACACAATGTACACAGTAAATTTTACCCAAAAAATTCCTAAAGTGTTTGGGTCAGTTTCATGGGTCGGATGCCGCATCGTTGATATATTTACTTACAGAAACCACGCACAACAACGTATTTTGAGGCGCCCTTCTTGCTTCGAGTTTAACACACGAGGATAATACATGAGAATAACGCAACATCTTGTGAAATTTGGGCGTACGTATCCATCTCTGTGAGTGGTCCCAGCTATCAGGTCTGTATAACTATTCAAGAAGTAGTGAGGCACAGTTTGCTTTCCGGCTTGTATTTTGTCATTAACTCACTGGTCCGAGGAACTTTTACACTTCGCTTCACTACGAAAGCGATACGAGTTTCAGTACACGCCATAATACTGCGACTCCCTCTACAATTTATCTACATTGCTAATCCCCTTTCAGAGTAGATAATGGGTACATTTGAACAAGTTATAACAAAGCTGGGATTCGAGCTCATCAGTCCCCACAGTTTAAAAAATGGTTGCCTAATGGAATATGATATCACGGATTACTGTCAGGCTCAAATCGCTTAAAATGAACAAACTTTGCAGATAGATCTGCGACTGAAATATCTTGTTGAAAATGGTGAAGCCCACATTGTGCTCGTGGACGCAAATACGTGGGAGTGTCACTCATGCAACTATGTTTTTTCATCTCCTCCTCGACTAAACCAGTACCGAATCATTTGTTCCGGGAAATCTAGCATCGCTATTCCGTGTGCTCACCGCGGTGGACGCGTTCATGGTATTTGGATAACTGGTGCGATTTCCGAAGAAACAAAGCTTGCGGACAATCATTACCTATGTCTGTGGGTCCAACGTTGTGAGAGTGAAGAATTGCAAATGAAGAACATACTCGGTTCGCCATAACCACCCGGGAGGTTGTCAGATAATTTGCAAATAGTGATGCGCATGATAAGGTGATCATCATAACACCTACCATTGGGTTTCAGCCTAAGTGAAGGAGGCCGTCAATGATTTCACATTAAAACCATGAGAACTTAGTTGGCGTAAATGACTAAGATACGTTTGGTGGTCCACGATGTCTGATCAACCAACTAAATGTAATCTCCGTCGATCATGGTGGATGGCTGGAAGAACCTAGCTGACGCACGCGACTAACGTACCACCAAGTGTTTACGATGCATACTCAACTAGTTGGATAAATTCTCCGTCGATCATTTTGCTAAAGCACGTCCATCCATCCCACTGGGAAAAGTCAACGGCCCAAATTGAATGAGATGTGCTTATTAGCATTACATATGTTCTGACTAGTAATATAAGGCCCTCTTGGTACATAGTGCTTAGCGAGTTATGGAGTTATGGGGAAAGTATAAACTAATTTATTTAAATACCATTATGAGGCAGGCCGCTGACAAACTGTGAGTAATACTTCCTCTGAAATGCGGGCACTTCTGTGGTGATAACCCCGTAGAAACGTGACATGCCGTCATTTTTGGTGACTAATTGGTATTTTGATGTCAACATAGTAGGTTGCCTCGAGAAACAAGCTTACCCGAAATGCACGATGCCTCCTTGAGGAACGATCATATTGCAACTAGTGGATTTTTCATGCGTCAGGCGAAATCCTTCATGTTCGCATCACTTTTGTTGAACAATCGTCGTAATTATTTTGGTGAGTTCACACCAAAACTGGAAGCACTGGACTCGAGTTTCGCTAAAAACAGGGTGCATAAGCGGGGCAAATTGATGGCCGTCCCTTAGTTTGAGCCCCGGACATCTGAGATGGGAGGCGAGCGTGTAACGACTACTACACTAACACACTTTAGGCGCATCTGAAATTTAAATGTGACCAGGCGAACGAGTTCACGCTTAAGCGACGAGACAGGCTTGAATGATTAATCAAGCGATGACAAAATAGCTGTCCTAGCAATGACGATCTATTTACTGGCCTATCAGGACTTCCCGGTTAGTTAGCAATACAGACGCTTGAGACCCAGGTTCTTATGTGAGGGGTCGCGGCATATGTATTGTTTATATTCAGAGCGCTCTTGTTTCAACCACTGCCCTCCTATCCTGTGGTAACGATTCTGTTGGGTCCATGTGACGGAAGAAAAAGAAGAAGAAGGGCTCCCTGGAATGATTACGCCGGGACATAAGGGCAAATTTTTAACCGAGAGTGAGGTGAATATAAACAGTACATTACCCACAACCCATACAACTTAATCACACGAAATCATCATTGTTTCTTTCCTTAAACGGCCACTCCAAAGCGTTGGTGCTAGTTTTATGCTGTCATACGTTGACTATCGATCAGCTCCTTCCCAGAGCAGAAATTCTGGACATGTACAGACTTTTGGGAAACAATGTGTTGAAATTCTTTTCCTCGGTTCAGGTCAACGTTATGAAATACCTTCTTTGCAAGTTTAGCAAGCCCACCCGTTCGATTTCTGGTCATGCCAATGGCTAGACAAAAAACAAATTAATGACATAGACACTCGGTTGTGGGCAAACCTGAAGATTGCCACAGCACAGGAGGCAAGGTTTGTCGTTAGAAAAGTCAGCGTGATTTAACACGCGGTCGCTTGCAGGGTCACAAAGCACACAAAAGCCCAAATCGGCGTCTTTTGACCACTTTCCTGGTTGAAGCGCGGTATCCCCGAACACCGACAGCAGGTAGCCAGTCACAGACCCAAAGCTTCCACGCCGTTGGATCTACCTCCTGAGTAACCCACTGCTTGTAGCAGTTGTGGCCTTCCTGTGTCCCAGGACATGCAGTTTATCCATCACCCGGTTAATTTATTGGAACAGGTCATCGAAAATTGGTGGTTGACTCTGGAAAGTGTTTAAGGGGTGCACCTTGCTTTTGTAGGTTGTAATCAGACAACTAATAATGAAAAGGACCAATAATGAAGAAACCTAGGAAATCATTTATGGACAATATTTCTGACGGTTTGGAACAGACCGGCATACCGTATGGAGGATAAATGTATCCAAAAAAGCTGTATCGACCGGTGAAGGGGGTATATGCATTTACTAGCACAGGTATCAGTCGTCTGGAAGCACTTGGGCGTTTTCACAAGGAACTGTAATTCACCCAACGTAAATTTTCCCCACTTTTTTAGTTTTAACGGAATGGTAGTGCAGCCTTGGGGATCAGGTTCTTGAGTGCCTCCAAACGAGGGGAAATGCGTACGTGGTCACCCGACAGACAGATTTCAGAGCGCAACCGTCGCCTCTCCGAATTTTCCTTCGGTCACAAAGGTATGACGTTTGCGTCTCATGTTCTCGCATGAGCCACTGCGCATGCCGGGGCACATTCTAGATCGTATGTTCAAGTGTGCCTGAGTGGTACGCCCACGTTTTCGGGCTACTGCTCACATTCTGCAGACGGTTTTTGGTTACATAGTCAAAGCGGACCATTTAGTATTGTGCATACACAGCCCTTTTGAGGATGGTGGGCCGTGAAATAACATAGGAACCGTGTGTCAGTTTGGCGCAGAAAATGCAGGTCCTATCAGAATCTGTGTGCTGCTGTTATGCTAAATACAGAACCTATTGTACAGCACTGTCCGGGCTGGCCATATAGTGGAATGTGTTGGTTGTTTGCGGTGTCCATGACCAAAATACACGAACGGTAGGTACGCTCTTCAATATAGATTTGCTAATGTAAATTGGCACATGACACCGCAGCAAACCACTGCTCTCGCTGCCAGCATTTTAGCTGTCAGTTTGCCTATGACGAAAGTTTTCACTTGATATTTTTTGTCGATCAGTTCCTTGAACCAGCCAAACGGTCTATAAGTAGGGCAAACTGCTCGCTTCCCACAAAGGCATAAATAACCGATCACCTGGAATCCGTGCCATCTGTGATCAGAAAGGCGTAAAGCGTCTATCTACGGGCCAGATTTTTGTTGCTTTAGAAAAATTTACCCAAATAGTTGTGTCATTTGTGTTCCGACGGCATTCTTTGCACCTCAAAAACGTCAAAACGGTGACATCTACTGCAACCTGGTGAAGCTTATGCGGCTGTAGAGACTTCCCACAGACTTCAGTGGGAGCACATGTCCGGCCTTGTGAAGCCTTGGTATGACAAAGAGCCTATCAACTGCCACTGTCATTTGATCAACAGAAATGGTCGACATTTTCGGTGTTAGTTGTATACGTCCCGAGTGATTAGGACCTTGCCGAATTCATCAGCACAAAATGTCGCGATGCATAGGACTACATTCCACACCTCACCCGGGACTTGCCGGTACCAAGCTCTTCTCAGGCTTGCTGTCGATTTACTGGACGCCGGTCGTACAATAACTTGGAAACCTCATAATTTTTTTGGAAAAATAAATGGTGACTGTGACTGACCGACCGGTATTTTGCGTGCTGCGTTTTTATTAGTTATTGCGCTCACCTAACTGGCTTCTTCGGATCCCTCAACCTTCGGTTGGTTTTGCTACCTCTTGCAGTACTCCCACTCGTAGCGCCCAAAATATCCAGTGTTTCGATCGCCCGCAACAAACACTAAAGCCGCATGATTTTTATGTATTCCTTCACCGCTTTATCAAATGCCGTAATGGATGAGGACTAGATGGCTGCAAATTTCTCAACAAATACATTTTAAGCCACATCTGAATTTTAAAATTGAGTGAGCACAACCCGTTGATGCGGGAGATGGATTAAAGCAGGTTCCCTCGAAAGCAAATTGGACTGTTTGCTCTGAAAAGACGTACAGCAAAGTGAAGCATTTTTGCGCAAAAATTTTCCATGACACTGGCTAATAAGGAACATCTTGCATACCCGTATCACCTCAGTCGGCGTCCAACCAAAGTCTGTTCAGATAACTTTGTGAATCTCCGGTGCGGTGCTTAGGATTCTGCCATCAAATACTGTGTTCCATTCCTCGCAATTCCGAGCTGTATCTGCGTGATTATCTTTCAGTCAATACCTAGAAGCAGCAAGCTCGAAAACCGAATTGAACTTGTTAATTGTTTTAGTGTGCTGAAACATTACCACAAATTTGAGACACCAAAACAAACAAGGCGGTGAGATGCTGCCGTGTGATCTTTTTTTCGTTCTTACCCTGTTTTCCGCCAGCACCCTGAACGGTATGTCCCTCTGTTGCTTGATATGTATTTTGAGTATGTTTCTACTTTTTTGTATGAAAGAATCTTTAATAAATACCACTCGTGTTTGCAGGTCCTCTCGTTGAATCCAGCTCGGTTCAATCCGTTCGATTTGTCCCTGTTCGCGATGCACGACAGGAACCCGTCATTCACCTCACAAATAGCATCACATTTGTCACATTGGATGCATCCTCTCCTATTTCGCGGACTGTGTATTTCGCTAAACGGAGCATGTATATCGAACAATCTTTCGTCTTTGCCTGTCTCGTAAATCCTCAGACTACTCCCTTGAAGGGGATCGCTTTGTGTTGCCGGAAGAACCGGAATGCTGCAGATCTCCACTGTCCTCGAGTTCCCGAAGGCAAACCCCATGGAACAATAACTTGCGCTGGGACCGAGTTTTCTTACGACTCCAGTGAATTCACTGGTGCCAACTTTTCTATACACATTAGGGAAAAGCAACAATTCAAGGACCCAATGGATGGGCTTTTCCGTTGTCATGTTACAGACAGCAGCAAGACCACAATTATTTCCAATGAGATTGAAATACGTGATGCAGTTTACTACATTCGACAGCTCCAAACTAGGCCAAGCAACTCCATAACGGTGATTCCACCAATTTTTCACTCGGAGTTCCCGCGACCTTTCTATTGTGTTGACGATACTTCCCGAGAATGGCCTGTCTGGATGAGTACACTAAGTGACGATGTTGGAACCATTTTGTGGGGTTACTGTGAGATACTTGTACCAATGAACGCGCATACATGCCTCCAAGTACATAAGGCTCTTCCAAAGGCGGTTGCTACTGCGTATGTCAACGGAACGATGTTCCTGACGGACCCAAGCTTTCTATCTAAAAGAGAAGTTGCCATTGTATGTCGTGATGAAGATGTCCGTGCCCCCGTCAGAACTTTCGCTGGAGGACAAATAGATCATAGTTCAATGATTACTAACGGTTTATCTGTGGATACAACCTCAGACTATGTCCAAAAGCTCCAACCGCTTACCGAATTGTATCAAAATTTCACGTTCATTTATGGGGGCCTGCCCAAAGGTTTTTCACTAAATGCACTCTATCGTGAATCAGAAGCTGGTTGTTCCTTCCAGTGGAGTAAAGATGGAGCAGATGTTCCACTCAGTGGCGCAAGCAAATTTTCTTACCAACTACCATTGGTTGATGAGTTGCTCTTGGGTGGTACGTACAAGTTGACGGTCGTGTCAAAATCTGACGAAAGTGATAAACTTATTTTCACCTTCGTCGTAAATGTAGTGCGTCCGCCCGAATTCACGGATATTCGGTGTTTGCCAAGGTTGTTCTACGTCATGAAAGGAAACAATTTTACTACACTGTGCCCTTTTATTTCAAGACCGCAACCGAGAGCGTTTGTTGGAGTAAACCATTTGGAGGCTGCTACTGCGGTGGAATTGCGGCGAATGCTGGAAAAGGAAGCAATCTTGAACAAGAAGCTTTCACAGCTTGACATAGATTTCGGAGTGGAGAATATTGCAGAACCACCTGAAGTAACCATAACTGTCAATTCTTTGCAGTCGGAACAAGACTTTGATCTTTCTGTTCGCCTAACAAGTCCTTTCGGAGGTTCACGTATTTTCAGTTCTCTCAAAGTTGTCCGTAAGTTGTCTTCGCTGTCCTTTATACTTCATGCCTCCTAGTGGACTCAGTGGTTATTTATCATAGCTTCATGCGTCTGAAGTCAATTCACTATTTATTGTCCTCATTTAGATTTAGTTAACTCAGTAGTATCAGCTAGGACAGAAAATTTGATATATTTGGCGATGAGTTTTCACTTTCTAGGTATTCGCCCTTCGTCATCCGTAAACGTGTCGCAAACTTTCTAGACAGAACGTGGGGGCTGTATCCTCACTTCAAAAAGTACACAGTCCGCCTGATTTTCTAGCATGGAAATTGTCGTCTATTACCGAAAAAACGTGTAAGGCCAAAGCTATGCGTTTTTGTGATGGTTACTATGTCCTAACAACAGAAGGTTTAGGAAGACAAGCGTCTTAATTCTTTCGGTTTTGTGTTGGGAAGTCGCTGCTGTGTAACCTACGGATGCATAAACCTACGGTGAAATGTTAATGAATGAAAAGAGGTTGTTTACATGAAAACCAGACCCAAACCCGAAAACCAAACATGAGGCATCCAACAAAACCCTGTTTTTGTATTCAAATAGGAGCGGATAGTTAGTAGAAAACAACTAGCAACTTCTATTTGAAAAGAAGAAATTTCACAAGTTTCCATATTCGATGTGATGTTTCTTAAGACGACTTTTTTCAATCGGGTATCCATCGAGTAAGGTTTATAATTTTCTAGCGGCTTACTACCACCCACTGGTATGGCTACAAAGCTTATAAGAGTACACAACTCTGTTGAGCGGTCACGTCCAATCTCACGAGAATTGGAAGTCTGCTTGCAATTGGAAAGCATAAATTAGCGAAATACACTCATTTGCAAGCTAACCAAATTAGTTTGCGAATGAGCGTACTTCGCTAATTTCGTGCAATTTGGTTTCAAGTAGAACATAAGGTTGGCGGAAGCTCGGGGACTGCGCTTTTAATGAGCCCCAATAAGAGCGAAACCGTTCGTGCGCCGTCGACAACTTTTCAGCAACCATACAAGTAGTGCGTTACAAATGAAGCAGAAAGTTATTTGCAGCCAACAATAGACTGGGAACTAGCCAAACACTAATAACGAAGCTGACTAACTGACGGCGTAATTCTCAACAATGTGCGTAATTATTCGGGTTCCGCTACACTTGCCAGCACTCCGCTTACATATGGCATAAGAACTCAACCATTCGCTCTTCAAAATACTACCGAATCGTTAATTCTAATGTCAACTTTGTCTGTCGTAGTGTTCTGGGCTGTTGTTGGATGGAGTACGCAAAGTAAGTAGGTCAGTCCTGCTGCTGCGCCAACGGCGGATAACTGGTTATCGATAGCTTCTCCGAAAGCTATGGTACTTTTTCATCAAGTTCCCATCGTTTTAGTTGTATGGCTGGCAACCACTGGTGTAATGCTGCTGACGTAACATTAAGGCTAGGAAAACTGGCTATTTCCATGGTCCTCCGATTCCTCAGTGTACACAGTACCCCCAAAACCTAACGTCCTAGGTTCCCACTCGAGGAATACTACTTGAAGTCCAAGAAAGAGGCTGCAGTATTTCATCTACGTAGGCCTTTTTGTTTCACCCTGGCTGCATCCGGCTTACAAAGACGTATGCTGCCTCAGGACGGTTGTTTTGTTCGCAACGAAATGCGTAAGGAACAGGTCTTTGCTTCCAAAGATGAAGCCTTATTCAAGAATAGAACGAAGCTTCCCGGTTTCAAACTTTGTTAGATTAAGAGGGATAGCTTGTTCCCCAAAAGTGTGTTTTGTTTGTTCCGGTGGAAGCATAGGAATTATTCCCGTGTCCTATCATATTATTCTTCGTCGAGTAATTTATTGCCCTAGAGGCCACATAGTTTGTATGCCGCCTGGCATAAGTTGTCCCTTCAAAAACTTGATGTTCAGAGCTCTCCGAGATAAAACCTTGTTGACCTAAGAAATGCAATCGTTCTCGTTTTTGCAAAAGATCAAAAAGTGAAGGAGTTGCATGAAAAGCCGACCGAGGTCATCCATTTCCCCTGCACATGCTTCGCGCCTATGAAGTGCAATGTCATGGAGGACTTGCATTCTTTGAGCGTGGTTCAGTGTTTCAGGGTTGACACATGAGGTCGTATTAGCTCCGATGGTAATGTGACAGACGAATTGGATGCAAGAATCTCGAAAGCCAGAATCCCGTTTGCAAATTTATGCCACTTGTGGCGTCAAAGACACCTCACCAGGTCTCGAAGTGTGCATATGTCGGACTACAGCACTTGCTGTTTTGTTCAGCGGTTGCGAGACTCGACCACTTCTGGTGGAGCATATGAGTTCATCAGGGTTTTGACCACCGATGTCTCAGAAGTGCAGGTGGATTTGGCTGGAACCAGCAAATTCGCAATGAGACGATCAGTAGATGGGTTTTTGGTCATGCAGAGGGTACTGCCCTCAAAGAATGCAGCATAGGTGGCTGGATCATGTGTTACGCATGCTGAATTACCACCTGCCGACTTGAGTGCTGTTTTCCTTCCCTAATTAGGAGTATCGGACGCCCAGCTGTGGATAGAATTTGACATGACAAAAAGCAATAAAGGAAGTTACGAATCGTTTGATGCCACTGGTGCTGTTCGTCTTCCTGAATGGACTCACGTGGCACTCTCTATACCTGGCTAGACACACGGAGCGATATGGCGGCTAACTGATGTCAGTGACGTTCATAATGGGGTTTTCTGTTCAGACTGTGTGACTGAGTGTTGGAGGTAGGCTAGCCCCTGGTTCTCCGTTTGCCTCAGTTGTTCATTCTTTCCATTCAAAGTCTTCATTGGAATAACTTGACATGCTATATGGTAGTGAAGCACCAGTGTTCTCATCCGGTGTCGCTATTAATGATGATGATTTTTCTGGGTGTCACACGTCAGTCAGTACCACTGAATCCTTGAACGGTAGCAATTTATATCTTCTTGGAAGATTCCGCTCCGTGCATCTACAGCTGCCATTCAGGATTGCGTCTGTCCATCCAATATGCTCAAATGTTATGGTGTCTCAAAATGCTACCTTCGTCTTAGTACATTCAAAGAAAGGCGGGCTAGTGACGACACATCTAATCGCATTTGCATTCATAGGAGTCACTGACCAGTTCCCTAGGTGGCACTGTCAGAAACGGTTTGCACCCACTTTCGATTGTGATCGGTGATTGCCAAGGCCAGAAGCCAAAAGATGGCTTCTCCCAATAATAGAAGGGTGAACAGCAACGACCTACTTCCACGCTGAGCTAAGTTAAGTCCAACCACATTTATTGCCTCGCATACCAATCAATCCATGAAACTGATGTGGATGATACACCTACACTATGTTGTGTTTTTGGTTTAAACAAACTTCCAACTTTGCACCATGCGCTAATAGCTTGTCAAATATGGCCTTCTGTATGACATTGCAGTGTTTAGCCCCGTATTGTTGTTAATAGGGATGCTAAGTTTTTCTTCAGCAAGAGCCTGGACGACTGTGTTGGTTGCATTACGCGCTTTCAGGTCGTACTTGATTCTTTTCAGATTTGATGGATGACTGCACCACCTGCGGGTAGGACATAGCTAAACAAGGTCATCCAGGAGACCTGAACATCAGAGTCTTTCACAGAAGATAAACTCGACCAAGCGGTAGCTTGCGCAGATTCCCGTTGGTATTTCTCACTTGTTTGATTCATCGGGTGCCCTGTCCAGTGTCACAATTCTCCAATACCATGGAAGACGAAACTTCGAACTCAGAATTATTTTAATTACTCCGCTCTGTTCTAATTGGTGACTCCACTTCACTTAGAATAACTCACGGAAGTCGCATACATTTGATTGTTTTCCCCACAATCTTCGAGGCTGTGAAGAAAACTTCGTAACTACTGGGTTAAAAATTTGTGTTCCCCAAGAGGAGACCGATTTTGACCCGTCTTCTAGTGAAGAATAGGCCTATCAGCAATAGACTGCGAACCTAGTTTCGTAAAAAAATTGTCGTTAGTATCCATTTGATTTATGTGACTAAATGTTTGGAGTAGAGCGAGCGCCGGTTTCAGGCCCCTGTCCTTTCCAGGTCGTTTCTAAAACAGTGACTGAGTCAAATTCAGTCACCGATCTTCAGTAGCGGTGTTTCCTTCAATGACGCTGTTGGGATGGGATCTTTCAGAGGTATTCAGTTCGACTGTAGTATTTACTCAATTCATGACGGCGTGTGCCAAAGATTTCACTGGGTAGTGATGACGGCACTGCGGAAATAGTTGGCAGGTGTGTCACGTATGTAGAGCTCATTATGCTGGGCGATGATTTAACTGTTGCCCAATATCACCGCCTGCGACGGCAATTTCGCTGATGCAGTTGTTATCCTCCGCAGATTCAAAGCAGCCAACTCCTTGTGGTCGACCGATCGCTAGCCCTTCTCCGTGTTTATGGGATTATTTTTTCATGGATCTTAACTTACGTTCAGGTCTTTTTGGCCGATACTGATGATAGGCCAAGTCATCTGGTTGCGCTTCAGATGCAGAGGATTTTGTCTTCCGACCGGACAGATCATCACCAAACTTCTTGCTTAGCAAGTCATTAGGCTGACTTGTTCAAATAGCCTGATAATGAGGTTTTCTATCTAAAACCGTAGTTTTCTACTTGCCTCATTGCCTATCTTCATGAATGATCTCAAGTCTGAAATATTCATAGTACTCCTTGAAGACCCATTGTTTATCGGATCGTAATAGAACTCGGTGATACCTACACTGTTATCCATCCTTCCATTCTTTAGGGCTCGTGGAGTGGACGATCTGTTTAAGTAGTCGTGTTTCTGGTAAACACGTGTTTTTTTGTTCTACCTTGCTCAGATGCCAGTTTTAGGTTACGTATCTGGTTACTTGCATAGACGTAACTTAGTGCTCATATAATTTGTCTCGATTGTTTTGAAGCCGTCTCGCAATCACAGGCGAGTGTTTTTTTACACAGTAGGTACATAGTATACAGAAATACATTGACGAAGAATTTGGATAGGCTTGCTCAATTCATAAATTGTTTAGCCTACTGTTACTTGCACTTTGTCGGAGTGTGTCCATTTGGCCGTCATGTAACGGATATATCTATCTCGTTCAACCTAGTTCCGCCAACCCAACGTACCTGACTGTCTTCGTTTCTTTTCTCATGGTATCCAGCTGTCCCAAAACTGATGGCCTCGCCAGTAGAATCAAGTTGTGAAGAAGACTGTGACAACGTTCCGTTCAATGTCTCTTGTTCACTTGATCCTGACTTGGTCCAGCAATGGCGGCAGCTTTTTGACGTTACTGCATCCCTCACCTGGGTAGTACAAAATCAGTGGTCGTCGGATAAATGGGATCCAGATGGTATTGGACGGTTTTTCTCTGTTCCAATTTTGGATGGTGTGAGTTGCACTAAAGATTTTATAAACTCAAGCACTAAGACACGAGTTCTCGTTAAGTATGGGTTCCCTGTGTGTTGTAAACATGTACCAACACTGTACCAACACTCGCATGGTCGTTTGATATTTCTCATTTCCCTTTTTAGAGTGTGCTTTCTGTTTGGCCACAAGGATACCCTCTGAGCACCCAGAATGCAGCGACAAACTCGACTCAGATGGGCGATTCCACAACTTTCAAGTCGTTGAAGGAATTCATAAGAGAGAATGCGGCTGCAGAAGGTAGTGGAAACGTGTTCGTCCTATCTCTACGCTGCCGCGTACAGTTGTTCGTACATAATAATGAGCCCAGTTTTGCTCCTCCTCCTGGGCCAAAAATGAGACGTGGTCTACGACAACAACATCCTCTCTCACGGGACTTTTCGCCCACCGCACCTCGCCTTCTGTATGACTCCAGCTGGGAACCTGATACCACTCTGGTATCACAGTTGATTGCCTTACGGTCATTTTCCCCTGATCCACAGCCAGGTACGTAAGGTCTTTCAACCGTCAGAAACTGATAGTCAATGAAGACATTGTGCCAATTCCTGAGGGCCCTTATAGGAACTGAGTGATATGAGACAAGCTGTCGTCACCACTTTTCAACTTTGTCATTGATATGCTGCTTCGCCCTTCTCTGGAGCCCTGGAGAGTGAAATTCCACTGAAACGCTCACTCATAGATACTGAGTCCACAAACCCTTTAGGAATGCCATCCCTTTTATATAGTCCAAAGAATTCTGCCATATGGTTTTCCTATGCTTCACGCTTGCAAAGTGCTGCCACAAGACTAAAAGGGACCAGTCAATCAATCGGATAGATAGATCTGTTCGCTTGGACAGTTTTATAACTTCCATCGGACTGGCTGGAGATCTGTGACCTCAACTCACCAATGGTTAATGACACTGGCTCCTGGGTCAAATCAAGTGCCTTCAGCGTAGCTACCCGGCTTCTCATCCATTCAGACAACTAGAACGATACAAAATCAACCACATGAATATGCTGTCTCCTCAAATATGTGGCCATATCTCCCATACTCCCGAACTTTTCAATATCGACAGTTATAGCAGGCGGAACCAGTCCATCCTTGACACGTAGCTCATAGCTGACAGGTCGAACAGGTTGTTCCTTAAGTACTTGTTCATTTAACTCCGCAAAAAACCAAGTGATAGACTTTCCTAGAAATAAGAATTTCTTAATCGCGAAAAATTTCGGCTATGAATAAAAATAGAACTACGTTCTCACGCCAGATTTTGGCTTCCAGAAGAAAATCTGAAATTTGGCTGTCTGTTTTGAGCGTTGAACTGTCAGCTGATCGACCAAAACCGAGTGCTTTTTACTTGGAGATCATAACCGACCAACTCAGTCAAAAACTTCAGAATTCTTCAGATGCTTAGACTGACTCATACGGATTTGCATTCCTATCTGAACCTTGACGGTACATTGATTTCTGTGTTTCCGAGGCGTATATAATAACTGATGCTCGCGGGAAACTCAACACAAATAGATCACTAGTAGTTGTTAGAATGTTTGAAACGAGAATCCTTGGAGGCACTAATACGCTGAACCAATCGGACGCCCAGTTACCCGTCTAGTGTTCATTAAGACACCCTCGGACCTGAACAAGCTCAGTGCTCTCAGTAACTGAACCAGAGTACTGGAATGGTTACTTGGGTCCAGGTGTCTTGGAGGGTCATCGTTAGTCCCAATCATACCCGGAATCCGTGGGCTGTCGAAGAGTTTTCAGCAACCTTGTGAGTAGTTTCCTCTATGACAATAAAAGGACTTATATCGTGGCCTATTAAATATCGGTTGCTCAAACCTGCAGGTGGTGGGTGTCTGGAGGTGTAGGCACTAAGTCCCTCCAGTCCATCTTTTTTTCCTCACAGTAAGGCTTTCAAATAAATCATGGTTGTACGGCGACGAATCACCAGTGTTTAACACTGGTGTCATGCTGTTGATGATGATGATGATGAGAACGAGAGCTAGTAAAGGATGACTTACATCACTCTTTTAGAGTTCCGGATTTAGTCCTGCTTCTCGTCACCGTTTCATGTATTCCTTGCAATACGAATGTCACTACGATTCGTCAGAGCTTTGTGACGTCATAGGCCATCACGGACATGTTGGAAACACAACAACTGAGCTAATTCCAACGTCGGGTAGGAGCGGTGAATCAATGCAGCCCTTTAGTGAACTTTTTAGTAAACCTTTCAGTAAACTTCGTGATCCCCGCACGAGGACAAGTGTTTGCAATCCGGAGACTGACAATCTGAGGTCAAACATCGCGGCAGTCGTGAACTGAGCTAATTCCAACGTCAGGTAGGAGCGGTTAATCAATCCAGGCCTTTAAAAAGTATGGCCTTTTAGTAAACTTTGTTCGAAAACATGTGATCCCCGCGCGAAGACAAGTGTTTGCAATCCGGAGACTGCCAATCTGAGGTCAAACATCGCGGCAGTCGTATTATTTTGTGATGAAATTGTTCAGATTTAATTCTGTTGCGAGCTGGGAAATTTTTTTGGAAATTAATATATGAAGAAAGTATTTTTTCCAAGGTGTGTTTGGTGTGGTAATAGCAGAACTGAACTACTATTTCCTGAAAGGATTCTGGACAGGGAACAGGTTGCAATATGACTTCCAGTGGCAACCAAAGCAATTCCGGTCATGAGCGCACTTGGTGTGTGTCATGACATCTTACCTAAAGATCGCCTTCAAATGTTTCTTTTGGATTTAAGCACCTCGAACCTTCTGGTAAACTCCACAAATTGTCAGTAGTGTTCGTGCTCAACCAAGTTTGGTTCCGTCCCGTATCAACGTCTAAAGATGCACATTAAGTTAGACAATTTGCGACCATAGTATGTGAATCTATCCTAAAACCTCAGCGTTCTATGTCCTTACCACAAATGTGAGCCGTGTGTGTCTCCACTGTGCGTCTCTGAATTATCCCATATTGATTAGTTTAATGTTTTAAGACATCCTAGTACTAGCGTTCGTTTTTATCGTCAATTGGGCTATAGCAACCGCAAATCTCACCTGGATCGTTGCCGTGGTGATCGCTCTTCTCGTTGTTTTCGTTGTGATCGGTCTTGGGATCTGGCTGTACACACGTGATCGTGGTGAAACCTACATGCTTTACGACAAGGAGAGAGCTCATGGAAACGATCCCATTCAAGAGATGAAGGAAACCGAGGGATTCAAGACTTACCAACGACAGTACGTTCGTGAGCTTAGTTCGATTTAGTTACGTGCTCTACCTTCTTGCATATTTTGACCTAGGTTATTTCTGTTCAGCTGTGTATCCATGTGACGTTCAGGGGTTTTTGTATGTTATAAACGTTCTGAGTCCATCTTGGAACTGCTTTCTGATCGCAAACGAAACACCATCGAAAGCCTGTCCATCCTATTGGTGAATCCTATTAACTCCATTGGATATGGTTCAGCGGATTCATGTGGTTTTCAGGTTGATAGGCTATTAGTAAGATCTTACTCTGGTAGGTGAAGTTTCGCAAGATAGTTCCATTGGACCTGCCATTCATATGCCCGTATGTCATCAGGTCCAGCCTGTCATTTTGCTGATTCGATGCGATAACTGAACAACTCAGGGCATCCTGCAGTTAGCTGCAACAATCTAAACCTCGTGGCTTCGAATCGGCAAGTTAACCGTCTAGGGTAACCCAAAGCCATGAGAGGTTTGACTTTAGCCAGTTGAAATGGAGTTCTGGTCATTCTACGTATGAGGAGCCACTTTGGTATAAAAGTGCACTACGATCATGAGTCGGTCAAACCACCATTCATTATACATACCTGTTCAATATACATCACAATACCCGCCGTGCACTGATGGTCGATTAGGTAGTGTTCGTGTGACTATCCACGACAAAATGCACTCAGTGACCACGTGACAATGCACCACACATTGACTCAGCCGGCATACGTTGCTTTAGAATTTTGTTATCCATCGTGTGTGTTGCCTAGCTAAATCCTACGGATGGTTTTGCACAGTAGTAGAAACTGACCTCAAACGTTCCCATAAAATGAACACAGCCTAGTATTTCTACAATGCCAAGTCGCCAACCGTTAGCTACGAAGAAATCTGTTCAGTTGTGAGCTTGATAGCAATCGATCCTGTCATGTGTCTCTACTTCACTTTGTTAACATAGCTTATTTCAGTCGGAATATGATTCTGGGTCATCTGTGACCCCCATGCCTCATGCCGCTCGCGAATAAACCCTATTTGACCCTTGGTCGTTGGTTTCTTTTCTGACTGAAATTCAACCCACAGTCTGGTCAACTTCATTGTGTGCGTGTTTGAATCGGAAATCAAATTAGACGATCAGGTACTTCTGACTGTTGTCAAATCCTTGTTGATGTCGCGCAGCGCTGCAAATTCGTTTAGCACCAGCACTGGTTTTAGCGCTAACGTCCTCCCGGGTAACGGGACGCATGTGAGATGGTTCTAGCACGACGTCCTTGCAATCGGGACATCATCCACTTATTCAGTGTTGACTCAGATTTTCACTTCGTCTATACCCAGTATGAAATTAACTCTCTTGAAGTCTCAAAATTTTATGGGAAAACACCGGTAAAGGTCTGACGAAAGTTTACTCATGTCGATCAACACGTCTCATGGCTGATTAAGTTCTTTGAGTCGTTTTATAATGATTCTGGGTCATCTAGTTTTAGTCATTCTTTCTTGAGACCTGTTCTATCCCTAATCCATTCTTTCAGCCCCGTTTGCACGCCGGGAAAAGCCCTCGCCACCCTAGTCTGTAGAATTTAGATAAGCAATGTCTACTTTACTGTCATGCTGACTCCATTCCGTGTTTGCGATACTCCATTGCCGTCCACTTGTCACCGGTCTCCCCGTACAATTGCGTACATCCACGTGACAACCGCACTTGTTTCCACCAGGGTGCGTCATTTAAGCCCCGATAGATCAAGTCTTCATTTCTTTCGGTCGTCTAAGGAAGCAGTCATTTTTCACGGCTTTGAGTGGTTTTCTTTGAAATGATTCCGCTTATTCTCTCAAACGATCCAACCCTCGCAAAGTGAACCCGCACTTTGTCGCTCTTACGCCGGCTTGGTGCACAAATGATGCAAAAACAATGAAAAAACGAGACCTTTTTTTATCTTGCTGGCGTCTTTTTCAGTTTGATCAGTTCATCATGAATGTACGCCATTTACACAGTGTGCCCACACACCAGTGCCCGGGTAGTAAAGAAAGCTCGATTCACATTCATTAGCCGTATTTACCGAACGGAGCTAGACGTCTGTCGGTGAATTTCGGTCAATCTTTTCGTGCAACCAGTGGAAAGAAATCAGAGCCGTTTCTTGTCCATAGTTCTGAAGTGGACAGTCGGTGTAACACGTGCCCGATTATGCAGTCTTCAGGCCATTTTTGTCTCGTTTTACCCAGATCAATCATACACAAAAAATGACCACCCTACTCAAGGACGATAACCACGGAGAAAAGAAGTTCGACTTATTGAACGGTCTATCTGATGGGATATCCGCTTTCCTGAGGTAGCTCTGTTGGTGGTTACTTTGTCCTCTAGTCTCTCTGTTCTAATGCAACTCACAGAGCGTCGCTATCTTTTTCATTGATCGTTTTCCGCGTCAGAACCGATGACCAAGCCTTTCATGCGGCTCAACAGCGGCGAACTTGGGTTCTGCCCATTTGTTTCCGCATGCTGATATTGATCACGTTTCCCGGTTAACTCCGCCAGATTCTTATCAGCTGCTTTTTTCACGTGTGCTTTATCACTCACTCTTTATCGTCTTTCAGAGAGGAACAACCCATCGCTTCCAGCCGCTATTCGATAAACGATGAAAGTATGCATGTGGGTAGTGACGAGGATGGTGAATTGGATCAGTATGAAGGTAACTGTTTGTAGTAGCTTCCGTAGAATTTGAATTGTTTGATTTTGCTGAAATTAACTTTAAACCAGTGTTTCATTTGGTTCGTATCAATCCCGAAAACCGTGCCCAAGTTCGCTGGAGGAGCACGATAATTTATGAGGGAACAAAGTAAACTCAGATGGTGGAATGGCAGGACTTCAACCGTTGGTGTCGCACTTAAAGTCCGGTTTTCAATCATTGATGAGCGAGTAGCGCGGTCTGCCCTCTTTGCCATTGTCTTTTTTCTCTAAAGTTCCAATTTTCGAGTATTTCTGTAGCATATGCGAAGGTCGAAGTCCCATCAAATTACCTACCTTTGCTAACAGTATCCCCAGTAAATTCGTCCCCATCAACCATGTTTCCTTGGAAATCAGAGTGGAACTTTAACAACAACTAAGGTGCACCTTGATTCACCGAATGGGTTGGGTAAGACCACTAATTTATGGGAACGGTTCTTTACGTGTGCCGTCAACTTTTGCTGCAGGGTGGCAGACTTTACCTACCGCGCAGTGTAGTCGTTGCAAGTACTCCGGTTGCGGCGTTTGAACTGGTAAATTTTTGCGTTTTCTGGTAGCTTTTGTTTCGTCTACCCACCTTGTGTTCGATCGTGTTTCTACCTCTGTCACGCCCGCATCTGGTTTAGTGTGGACTCTGTCTTTCAACTGTGTATTCTGGACGTGTCACTTCCGTGCAACCAGAATAAAAGTGCAGTCTCGTCCGGACGCCTGCATCCGTGGATATCATCTCTTTTTGTTTATCGATCTTCCTTCTCCGTATGTCTTTCTGGATGGCCGTTATCAGCGACAGTAACATCAGTGTTGAGGCTGATGCTTCGCTGCCGTACAAAGTTTACCTAATTATATTTAAAACCCCAGAGTGAAGATATGAGAAAAGGAAATCGTGTAAGCCTGGCACAAGCATTCTGAGGTACCAACATCTTTAAGCGCTCAATCAGACAACATCACGAACGCCACTGACGTTGATTAGCCGCCATTTCTTGCAATGTCTCCAGCGAAGCGCAGGGCAACTCATCCCGGAAGGCGGACCACATCAACAACACCCAAACACTCCGTAATATCTTCCGGACTCCTGTCGAATCACATATTGTTTCCATTCCAATACAGTTTGCGTCATTATCGAAGCACCGTGAACAACAATTGTCACGGGTTGGATAGCCAAGCGACTGATAGTGCTGGATCTTTGCCGCGGTTGAACTAGCTGTTTCACAACCGAATACGAATTTCCCAATCGGCTCCAACTGTTGCACACGCTGTGAGCCACGAAAACAGCTGCTTTGACATCGTGCAGAATAGGGGAGAACTCACATTACACACTTTCTAGACTTGCATTCGATACGCGCTAGTGAGAATAACGACACCAGTCATGGGGCGATAGTACTTACTTGACACTGGTTCACCTTAGTCTAGCTTCTTCGACAGCCATTATCCAACCCCCTTGAGATTTCCACACTTGCAACAAAAGGAATATTTGTGAAACAAAGTGGTTTTTGAGTTTGTTATTGGTTGTTAAAGATAAACTTTGGTTTGTTCGCGAGATGGTTCATGGGTTAGAGCGCGAACTTACTGACCAGAAGGTGCGTGTTTCGAACCCGACCCCTACGTTTTGACTTCCGCTGTCCAGGTTTGAGCAACCTGGCAGTACCCCAGCCCTCGTGCTCCCTTCTGGGGGCGTGGTAGTTGGACACCGGAAGAGTGTACAGCTGAGCAATTTTTTTTCCTAACTGAGGTAAAACGAAGGATCTCGATGAATGAAATGAATGAAGCTTCACCCAGGACTGTGCCCTCTGCTTTATTCTCACGGTGTGCATCGTTGCGGCAGACAAAAGGATCATACCTCTGAACACTCATAGTCAGATCTGGTACAAACGATTACTATGTGAACGATGTTTCCAAACAAAAAGTGGGCAAGTGTCAGTGACCACGAGCCAGCCCATACTTCCCTTAGGATAATTCCTCTTCGGGAGTCTATCTTGGCTAAAAACTGATGATTTGGTCAACTGAGCTGCAGAGTGACATTTTCAGACATGTGTAAATTCATGAATCGAAGAATCATGTGAAATGTGATTTTTGAATCGCGACTAACTCCAATTGTGGTGTTAGGTACAACTCTTTGCCAAGGCTAGAACAGCGATCCACTTGAGTGCCCCATCTTGTTCTGCTGATCCACACTGCTACCACTTAGGCCTATTTGCTACAACTCGTTGAAGTCCACAACAAAGCAATCTACCATGTGATTCGTTACGCTCCCTGACTCTTACGGTTCTGTGCACCCACTCAAGAGGCTAAATGGTGCTGATTGATATAGTAAATGTGAGTAGGCGTTCACCGCTCTTGTGATTTTGTTCACCCTTTTTACAACAACAACAACAGCCGCACACAAATAGGTAGAGCTAGAACCTTTTGAAAGGGTATTTCAACTGTAAACAAACTAACTAATGCTAACCTCAAAAAGAGACCCATGTAGTTTTACTTTGTTTTGTCCGAAAATCACCGGGAGACCCGTGTTCCGTGTGGTACAAGAGTGTGGTTAGTGGGGTAGAACAGCCACGCACAGTAAAGAACACCCGTGAGGAAAACCGAAATTTCTCTGAGTTAAAGTCGTCTCCGGGTGATAACGTGGATGTTTGATAACGATAAAACGTTATCCAAAGTTGTTCCATGAGGTTTTGAATGCTTCCAGATTGTCCTCACCCGAACAAGAGTGATCGGGAAACCACAGTTGGTTCCGGGCCTTCGAACCGTAATGTTTGGGCTATCCGGAATACATTGGAGAAGAAAATTGCCGCTGAAGATCGTTAGATTGGTCCCATCCATTATTTTCACATCGCCAACAGCGGTTCTTTCTGTTCACTTACTGTGCCCAACCGGTGCTGTACCGGGATGACCGCATATGTCTTAGCAAGACTTGAATGGTCCAGTTACTTATGGCTTTTAAATTTACTTCTCCCGTTACACGTTTTCGTCACGTCGCTTTCTGCCAATTCTTCCTGGAGATCGCCATGTTTCTAATATGGGCAAACAAGTCCGTATGTGGGCCTCCGTATTTTGTTTTCTGTAGGAGTAGGACCATCTTTGTAGCCCAATGAACTACAATTTTTCAGAAGTGCGTGACACCATTCACTCACCCTAGCCGGCCTACTAGGAAGATGAGGTCAAATGACCCACAGCTGTTTTGCTACTGAATCACTTGTTTTCATTCGGAAAACAGAGAAGACCTCTTTCCGCACAATCGTCCTACTATGTGATGACTTGTCAAGTTGAGAATCTTGATGATTCAATCACACTGCAGTCAATGGTTCCTACCTCACAGAATGGTGATTGCGCATCGGTCGGCTTGATCGCATTGTGGGTACCGCAGTAATCAAGCCTTCAGAATTCAGGTAGACTGAGCATAGTTTAGGTGAGCAGTTTGAGTCAACATGAATCTCAGGAACCAAACTTCACACACGTCTCGATCTGCAGACACATGCACGCACAAACAAAGGCATCGTATTTCGGTTTGGCTGAGAGCGGTTTTCCGGTCTCCTAGGATTATCTACCATAAATCTCGTCCGGTCTAGTTGAGTTTACTCAATTGCCATAAAATATTTAACAATGAGTCCTCGGACTAATAGGAAATGGGCCTCTATCCGGTGTACTCCCTCCTCAGTGAAAGATACGCTCAAGTCTGTCTTTCACTGAGGATTAATTTCAGTGCGATTCTAATTGGGTGATATCTCGGAAGACGTATGCTTAAACACAAAAGCCCACTTGGTGTCCTCCGATGCCCCTTCCAACCCGATCTGCTCTGAACAGTTGTGAAGCTCAGTTTAACACTCTATTCCGAATGCGTTAGCCTGGTCCCAAAGTATTCAGTAGCGTGAGAACATGATCAGAAAAAACATACCTCTTTTCAGGAATATTTATTTTTCCAGCCGCACATGTCCGGAACTTTCGACTTTGACTGACTGAAGAGTGAACATAACTCGCTGTTTTACGTTTGCGTCCACTTTCGTTTGTCTTTCATTAGGTTTCCAGTTCAGCTTCCAGATTCCTGGATCATTAAACTGAGTGTTTTTCAACCAGTCAGTCTTAGACTCAGTTTTGGTAGTTGTCGGTTCTCTCGGACAACCGACTGGTAACCAGAAGAGTTGATCCTCATGTTACCCTTCCCCCTCTTGGCCATGCATCAGATAAATACTTTCGTTTCTGATGACATTTCTTATAACGAACTGAAAACGGAATTGTTTCTTCTGCACGCGGGTGGTCGCCAGGACTTGTTAACAGGCAAAGCTCACAGACTAGGTCTATTTTCCTCTGAATTCACTCTCTCTGTGTCTCCGCTTGGTTTGTTTATCGTATTTCTGCTCACGACCGTGCTGCTTATTGCTTATGGGTGACGGACAGACCTACACATAAGAGCTCTGCATGATGGACATGTGTTTTCTGTGTTTGGCAACATCTAACCATACCGTCATCGGACTCCTACTGTTGTCGCTCCCCAACTCCAGCCTATCTTTACTCACAATCATCTTTGCCATTGTTCATGCATGCTTCCCGTTCCCTGACTGTTGCCAGGGGAAACAACTTGTTTTCATCTGTTACGCTTAGCATGACGGTCGAGCAATGTTCAGTGACACCCACACACCTAGGAGAAACCTGACATCCGATTCACCGTATTGATCAATGTTTGAGCTATGTGGTTTTGACCGTTGTTTGTTCTGTCCAACGGTACAATTTGACGCCCGACCTGTGCTAACTTTCCAAATGACGTATAGAGACTAGGGTAGAATTTTCCGATAGACCCATCCCAAATGCTTCAGTGTACCAGTTTTCGGTAACTGTGTCAACCCTGTTTATCGTACACGCCTACTTCCGCCCCATTTATCTACTAGAGAATCACCAAGCACTTGTTTGCCTCAAGCCACTATCCCACTTCCTTCTCGTTTCTTACATCTGGAACGTAGTGGATTGCCACATTAC